TTAAAATTCAGCAGCTACAAAATCTGTAGCTGCTGACTTTTAATAAACACACACTTACCTGTCCCAGGGTCCAGCGATGTACTCACCTGCGCCATTCCTTCTCTCCCTGACACTGGCATCTCAGCTGTGGGCACCAGGCTGTGACCACTTGCGGCTTCACAACCGGTTGGCCACTGCGCATGCTCATGTCACGCTGTGCATCCTGATTGGTCCGGCAGTCTTCTGGGACCTTTGAAGTGTGCCAGAAGACTTCAAGAAGAAGAAGGAGGAGGCCGAACTTCTGGCTTATTTTACTGAGGCGGAAGTGGGAGCGGGTATCTGTCAAAACCAGGCATCCGCTCCCCACAAAAAAGTGCTAAATATGGTAGTGGAGGGGGGGGGGGGGTTGTAGGCAAGCAAGCGGAGCTTCCACTTTTGGTTGGAACTTTGCTTTAAGGAAAAGTCAATTCCGTAGCACAAGCCCCTCCCTCCTTGCATGTCATGGCCCTCTCTCCTCTTCTGGGAGTGTCTAATTACTGTCTGTGCTGATCAAGATCCTCTGTCTTTCCGCTCACCTCCCTACATAACTTTTAGTCCTGGTTCACACTGATAGGATTTGTCATTCGATTTGACAGTGTGAAATCACATGAAAAGTCGCACCCTATGATTGGCAATGGAACCGTTCTAATTGGTGTGACTCCGATGAAGATGGAGATTTGAGATTTGAAAAGTAATTCCTGCACTAATTTTGCCGATTTTTGGTGCGACTTACATTGACATCTGTGCGTGAAGTTGCACAGATATCTTACAGGTCGCACTTGAAGTTGCACTGACATGCCACTTTAAGGGAAGTCGCATGATTTCAAAGTCGTATTCAATGTGAGTCCGGGTGTAGGCTATGTTTACACTTGCAGTTGGGGGGGGGGGGGGAGCAGAAGAACCCTGTTAAGCGAATGGGGTGTACATGCAGCAAAAATTATCCCCCATCTCCCATCTGCCAAATGTGACCTATTCAGCTGAATGGGGCCATGCCACAATGTAGTGCAAGGTTTTAGGAGTTAAAACAGACAGTGAGGAAGTGACATAATGCCTCCTCACCACCTGTCAAACGTTCTCAGAAAGCAATCCAACACAGATTGCTCTTCAGAGTGTAAAGCATGTGTAAAAGAGCCTTTAAATTAGCAACTGGGTAAAGAGTGAAGAACACGGGAGTGGCAGTCTTCTGGGACTGCTGACAACACATCTAAGATGGCAGCACCCAACAGCATTCTCTGTGCTTTTGCATGGCTACACGTAGGAGGCTTTATAGATAACTAATATGCATAAAACACAATAAATGCACATATAAACTAATGGTAAGATTGTTATTGAAATGAATGATCTGAAATGAACCAATCCCTTTTAGGTGAACTATATACTGTAAACACTGCAAACTTTCCACAAGAAAAGGAAGCAGCCCACCATGTAAAAGCCTTCAATCCAATTTATTCAAACTTTCTATAGTATAGACAATTCAACCTGGTATGTATGAACCCTACGCGTTTCACTCCAAGTGGAGCTTACTCATAGTCCCTATGAATAGAAACTCTAGTACCTTGCATACAGCACTGACCTCAACCCTTTTGAACACCTTTAGTAAGAATTGGAACACCAGTTGTGAACCCTTTTTCTCCAACCTCAGTATCTGACCTCACAAATGCACTTTTAGCAAAATGGACACAAATTTCCACCAAAACATCTAACAGTAAACCCTCCCAGAAGAGTGGAGGCTGTTACAGACACTTCATAATAGTTACCATAGATTTGGAATGGAATATCCAACAAGCTGATATAGGTGTGATGGTCATGTGTCCACCATTTTTTTGTCATATAGTATACATTACATAAAATGTAGTAAGAATTTTGAAAATTATTAAATGCCTCTATTTTGATGAAATTGATGTTTACTTTACCATGTCCTTTCACAAAACCAGTTGCTTAATGGGTAGATCTGCCTTCAACTACTTGAACTTCAATATTGTAATAAAAAACAGATGTCTGCATCCTCTAGGTGCAGATGGACATTAGAAAGTAAAGCCAGCTGTACATGGGTCGAATTCCAAAAGAATTTTCTTTTGAAAATCTTCTAAGAATTTTCGTTTGAATTTCGCACCATTAGCAGGCCACAGAAACAGACGATTTTTGAGCGACCATCGAATTTGAGTGATCGGGCATGTTGCAAATTTTTTTGGAAAACAAACAAATTTCTAATCATTGATGGGAGAATCGTGCGAGAAATATAATCGAAAAAGAAATGAGCATGAGCAATAACCTAGAAGGAAAAGAAAATTATTGGCCATGAAAGTTCTTTTCTGTAGCAACATGAATTCTTGATTGGTCGAATTTCAAAATCAATGGTGGCACAAGTAGGTTACAAAATGCACAACATTTTCCGATTTTCTAAAGAAAAAGAAAGAAATGCAATTTCTGTTACAGGAAATGCCTGTAATTTGACTTATAGCTCAATGTAGGTTTTTGGGAAATAAAACAGTGAATAAATCATAAAATATATATATATATATATATATATATATATATATATTGTGGGACCTCGCTTCAAATGGTAGAGCTTCTTCAAAGCACACAGCAACTCGCTTTCTTTTTTAAGGCCTTTTTAGCCGAATTTTATTTAAAGAGAAAGTTCCATACAGCTTCCCACGCAGGGGTATCCACCATCAAACAAATGCAAATGAATGTTCAGCCTCCTGGCTTGTACACGGTTTTATGTCTGTCTCATACAGACTCTTTCCAAAATGGCTTTTCGGCACACAGCTAGCCAGTAGCACACAGCTAGTCTGGCTTCCACCTCTCCTTGGTGAAGCCCTCCTGACTCCAAGTCAGAGACCTCCTGTCTGCCAGGGTGGAGCCCTCCTGACTCCTGTCTGCCAGGGTAGAGCCCAGAACCCTGGTCCTGACTCTAGAAGAGAGCCATGCACACCTGACCAATCAGTATCCTGGCCATTCCCAAAACCTGGTCCCAGGATTGGAGATTTCATCCCTCCCAAATCGCTTTGAAATCTCCAGGCTCCAGGTCCCAAAACGGACCTTACAAACGAATGAGGAAAGTGAAAAGCCACTTTCCTCTGTATCAAACACTTACCCTGGAGCCCCTCAACCTGCCTTGTTGAGAATCCCGGGTGAAATAACCTTTCAACATCGTGAAAGATCGCCACACTGTCACAATATATATATATATATATATATATATATATATATATATATATATACACTAGCATAGTTAAAATATGACACAGAATACAAAATATAACACTGTAAATATACACAAATATCTAAATAATTTGACATAAGTCCATCAACTGAAAAATGAAAATTGTTGCGTTGTTCTGGATGGTTAATGGGACACTATTTAAATAGCTGTGTCGTGCTGTGGGGCAACCCTTTGATAAAGTCAGGTGACCAAACGTGTCAGGGTTGGGCTGCACGATGTATTCTGTAATGAGGCATCCACCTTACATCCCCTACCGGAAGTGACGTATCGCTCGCATGCAGCGAGGAGGATCGGGTGAGACGCTCGATTCACGTGATATGCAGATACCCTTAACGGTTATTATGGATATTTTGGCATGCTTTCATTTATCTCATGTGAGTGCAATACTTTCTACCCAATAAATGGTTTTTAATGTATTCACGCTATGAGTTTCCTTTTTACATCTTTCCTTTATTACGGAGTGTAATAGTTTGGAGGATGTCCCGCCATCATATCAGTCTCTGATTGATGAAGGGCTTGTTGATTGATGATCTGTACTACGCTGGCACTCACCATCAGCACTATTGCTTATCAGGTTTGGATGGGCCTCGATATCTGGTGAGTGCTAATGAATTGGGGGAGGTTTTCCTCTGGAGCACGAGGTAATATGCACTTTGCTCAATCAATTATCGTTATGTTGTTCACGTGGTGATCTCGGTGGATCAATATGGACTTTGCACTTCATCACAATTTTCATTTTTCAGTTGGTGGACTTATGTCAAATGATTTAAATATTTGTGTATATTTACAGTCTTATATTTTGTGTAATATTTTCACTCTGCTAGTGTTTATATATATATAATTTTATTTTTTTTTCCTTTTTGCGCTGCTTTTATTGATCATTGTTTCATGAGGTGATTATTGCATTATTCACTATTAGGGCAGCTGCATGCTTCCACATTCTATGCACTCATTTTTTTGCATTAGGTGAGTGATTTATTATGCAATTTGCAGGTGTTACATTTTTTTTTCTTTTTTAATATATTTTCACATCTCTTTTGCACTGTGCACTGCACTGTGGTTTATATAGTGAATAAATCATACAAGCAATAAATAAGATTTCTGTGTGCCTACCATGTACAGAATATCCCATGCTGCCTTACTGCAAGGCAAAAACCTTTTTTGTTTGTTTTACAAGTTTATATCATCATGAAGGGAGGATTTTGGGTTCTGGGAATTCTTCAGTTGAACAGGATCACTGGTGAATTTGGCAAAAGCAATTGAAATTACCATTTGTGGTTATTTTTCTGTAGGTGTATTTATGTTATTCCTGTTCCTATTGACAAGCCTGGTCAGTGTTTCTGTGACAATTGATGGATGGATGGAAGGATGGATCATAAATTTGATTATATCAAACAATCTTTTAACTGAAAAGGATCATTTGAAATTTTAAGAATTTTCCTTTTGCTAAAAGTGAATGCGTGTTAACCTCCCTAGCGGTATGATTATTTCAGATTTTTGGTGCTGAAAGCGGGACCATTTTTTTGCATGGAAATATGTAGTTTTTTTATTGTAGGCCTGTAATTTAGGAATAACTCTCTGAAATCTGTACGAACAAGAGTCTGGTAAACATTCCGGATATGATAAATACTCATAAAAAATAATAATATAATAATAATAAATTTAATTCATTAATATAATCAAACCAAAAACACTGAAATTTGAAATATAGCGCCAAGTTCGCACATCACTGAGCAAAGTCGCAGAATCGTTTTCAGCGTCTGATGACGAATTTCCCCACAAATCATTAGCACTCAATTCTACAAGTGGTTCTGATTTACTATCGCTGTTCTCTAGCTGGTCTAAAACCGATTTTGACATAAAGGGACACTTTTTGGACGCCATGTACTTTTCTAAGTTGCCAGGCAGAAAGAACAGTCAAAATGCAGGCAGGGCACAGGACAAAGCAGTAGGGACAAAATGTATGTGAAATGCTTTGAAACAGCAATGTTTTGCTATGAAATAATCGTTTTTTAAAAAAAAGTCATTTTTTAAAATTTGCCGCCACAGGGAGCGGGACACAGAAGCCGGATGCCGGCATCGGCCGGAGCAGATGACTGGGGACACTGCAGGGGACGCATCGCGAGAGCGAAGGACAAGGTAAGCGCTGCAGGGAATCCCTGAGCAACGCCGCATGGTAAGCCCGGGTGTAGCTCGGGGTTACCGCTTTTGGTACACTCAGGAATACCGCCAAGGAGGTTAATTGAATTTAGTGGTGCAAAATTCTTAAAGATACAATTCTTTTATTGAAACAATGGTTCTCTCTAACAATTGTATTATTATTATTATTATTATTATACAGGATTTATATAGCGCCAAAAGTTTGCTCAGCGCTTTACAATATAACGGGAGACAATACAGCAAAAATACAGTTCAATACAAGAGGGTTAGGAGGGCCCTATTATAATATGTACAGCTAGCATTACCCTGTTCAAAAGAAGTACAGTAATGTTGACTGACTTGTATGACATACAGTATAAACCAGATACCTTTTGAAAAAAATAAAGGCAGGCCATAGACAGGCCGTTTATCAGCCGACTTTTCGGCTGTTAAACGAAAAATCGGTCGGCCCCGTTGCCGATGCTGCCACCCATGTTCACGAAAAAAAAACGGCCGTTTTTTGCAGATTTTCCAGCATGACCAATAAAAATAAGTGAGGAGATCCGCAAAAAACAGCTGACGGGTTGGCCACACTAACGGCGTGATTATCAGCCGTTTTTTTTCGTGCGGACGAAAATTTGGCCGATAAAGGACTTGTCTATGGCCTGCATTAGTCATGCTGATTATTGTTGATTTACACTCCCCAGCCACTTTATTAGGTACACCTGTTCAATTGCTTGGTAACACAAATTACTAATCAGCCAATCACATGGCAGCAACTCAGTACATTTAGGCATGTAGACGTGGTGAAGACGACTTGCTGAAGTTCAAACTGAGCATCAGATGGGGAAGAAAGGGGATTTAAGTGACTTTGAGCATGGCATGGTTGTTGGTGCCAGACGGGCTGGTCTGAGTATTTCAAAAACTGCTCATCTACTGGGATTTTCACGCACAATCATCTCTCGGGTTTACAGAGAATGGTCCGAAAAAGAGAAAATATCCAGTGAGCGGCAGCTGTGCGGATGAAAAAGTCTTGTTGATGTCAGAGGAGAATGGGCAGACTGGTTGATGTGACATTCATATGGTAGGGTCAGAATTTGGTATAAACAACGTGAAAGCATGGATCCATCCTGCCTTGTATCAATGGTTCAGCCTGGTGGTGGTGGTGTAATGGCGTGGGGGATATTTTCTTGGTACTAGCAAGGTGTAACTAATAAAGTGGCCTGTGAGTGTATATTATTATTGTTGATATATATTATGTTGATTTAGCCCTGGTTCACACCAGTGAAACTTGTCATGCGACTAGAGAGATCAAAGTCTCATGACAATTTGCACCCCATTAGCAGCAATGGATCCGTTCAAATCGGTGTCAAGTTGCAGCAACTTTAAAAAAAGGTTCCTGCACTATTTTTGTGCGATTTCATTGCAACTGGCATTGACATATGTTAAATGAAGCCACACAGAGTGTCATCACAGTTTATTAGTTGCTGTTTTCCTGACCTTATAGCACAACCAAACATTATGTGGCTATTTAAATTAACTGGTTTTTTTGCACCCTGCAATTGTTTTTATATTTCAAACAATATTTTACATCTTTTATATGCCTTTTCAGAGAAAAGAAGAAGCATCGCTCACCGACCCAGTGCATGATTATGTGGATGAGTGTGGTCTTAGCCAGGCCCTCTGACATGCTTAGCTCCACATTCAGGGGCCTGTGACCAAACCCTATGTGTGGGGCAAAACATGTGGTCATTTGAGTTATTGTTGCCTATCATCTCAAATCAGTCTGCCCATACTCCTTTGACCTCTTTTTTCGGACCATTCTCTGTAAACTGTAGAGATGGTTGTGCGTGAAAATCCCAGTAGATCAGTAGTTTTTTAAATACCCAGACTAGCCCATCTGGCACCAACCACCATGCCACATTCTAGTCACTTAAATCCCTTTTCTTCCCCATTCTCGGTTTGAATTTCATCAAGTCGTCTTCACCACATCTACATGCCTAAATGCATTGAGTTGCTGCCATGTAATTGGCTGATTAGCAGTTTGTATTACAAAGCAATTTAACAGGTGTACCCAGGGGCGGACTGATCATTCGGGTACTCGGGCACTGCCGAGGGCCTGGGGTCAGTAGAGGGCTCCATGAGATGCCCCTGGTACCTTTCATAGGCTTTTTTGAGTGTGGTTTGAGTGTGGATGAGGACACAGGGGCCCCATGATCCCCTATTGCCTGGGGCCCCATGAGTTGTCAATCCGCCCCTGGGTGTACCTAATAAAGAGGGCCGGTGAGTGTATATTTGTAAATGTGTGTAAACAAAACCCTCTGGTTTTAACGTAGACTGTTCAGCCAATTTGATTGTTTTGCAGACTGGCTGGTAAGTGTGCTGGGAAATCTTTTGTTTGTTTGCAATGTGCGTTGCCCTTCCATTTGCACCTTGCTGTAAAGACTAGTTATAGGTTGGGATGGTTGTCATTTTTTTGTACAGTAATGGACTTCCACCTGATTAAGTATGCCTGGGCAGTCTAGGGACATTAGTTGGAGCCTATTGACTAGCAAACACAAATGCTCCTGTGCTTGGGGATGGACTCAATGGAGGCTACAACCACATTAAGAATGTGCTGGAACATGCACACCTTGCTGCCCTCAATAGACTGGAGAAATCCAAATATACTGAATGAGGAAAGAACAAAAAGAGGGCGCACAGGCCTAGTGCATTACCATAAAAAATGTTTAATAAGAAATAAAGTAGGTGTTGTACTCACAAACGACAACAAAGTCAAGGCATATCATAAAAGAACAGCTGTGTCGGGGATCCGGGTATGACCAGAAATGTGTGGACTGACACAGGGAAGTAACAGGCTTCAGGAATGATGTAATAACAATATAATTTATTGTTAGCCACCCAAATATACAAAATGCACAGTAAACAAACCAACCTTCCACTAATATCAGTATGTGCGGGAACACAGGCGTAGTCAGGGCTGGAGAGGTGGAATGGTCAGGTAGGCCGTATGGTTCTGTCAGATACCGCCTGGCGGTACCTCTAGCAATCCACAGGATAGGATTCCCCCAGAGCGCAGAGTCTAAGCCCCAGTCTGCTTGTTCACCAGGGCCCCTGATAGTGGGGATGGACTTGGAGCAGACAGTGACCAGGTCGCGGCCCCTGAGTACACCCACCTGTGGTAGAGGGATCCACCAGAGGTATACACTGGTAAGAGCCTGACGTGAAGAGGCAGATAGGTCCGTGCAGGACCGATGGATGGATGGCAGAGTAGCAAGCGTGGTCAGACAGACCGGGTCAGTAACAATGGGGACAGCATGGTACAAGGCAGTAGGCAAAGAGTAGTCGGGTCACTCGCCGGGTTCGTAACAGGAGTTCAGATCAATAGGGATATCCAGAAGAGTAGTCAATCGAGCCAGGGATCAGAGCAGGAGAAGATAGCAAGGTCAGGATCAAGCAGGGTCGGCAGCAAGGCAATCAGGAGTACAAGACAATCAGGAACAAGATACAGGGGCTCATGGGACAACACCAAGGCACTGATTGCAGGCCTGGTGCTGCTTAAATATACCTCCTGCAATCAGCCTCAGGTGATGGCTTGATTGCAGGAGTGAGATCCTGGCTGCTGAAAGCACCCACTGGCAAGCACCGGTACTGCAGCCCACACGGCAGGTGAGCCCATTCCTGACAAGCTGGGTCAACACCGCGCTGAGTAATAGTCCGCAATAGGGATGTAGACATCCAATAGGCTGACGCGTTTCAAGGACTTGCCTCTTCCTCAGAGCCACATGGTATATATGTGTGCCCTTTAGCAGTAGTTCTGCTATAGGGTGGAGGGAAGCAGTTAAGTAAAGTTTCCTTAACTGTTGAAAAGCCTGGTCTGAAGTTACTCAAGGGATGCATACAGGTACATGGTTTATCTAAAAGAACAACGCTTTTAAAGCACACACAGGGTAGGAGAAGAAATCTACCACAAAGGGTTAACTCGGCAGGAGAGTTGAAGGAGAGCAGTTGCTACAGGTACCCATGAACTGGTGAGAATGTAACACAGGCAGACATTAAAGAGTGATACCAGGCTCGGGTGACAGGTGCTCCAGTAGCAAGGAGGGTTGGTATTCTACCTCCCTCCCTAGAGGTCAGTTCCCCAAAAGAAAGGTACTGAGACCGAACCCAAAGTACAGAGACTCCATATAACCAGCCACATGGTACAGGAGAGAGAAGGAGTTAATTATGTGCCCGCATGTGGTCTGCGCTAGTGCATGGCAGGACCCCATTCTTTCATTGGGAGTGAGGTGGCAGAGGAATCCTGGTCTAGTGGAGCAGGGCATAGGCTCAGTGGTGCCCCTCCTTGATACAACAATTATTTGAAAAAGGTGTGTAGTGAAATAGGATCAATTCTGTACATTTGCCATTGCACACAGTGTATGGCTCATCTCTAATCCTTGGTTCAAACTTAATGTTGATGTCCCCATGAATGCAGCCATTCCTGATCCCGGGCATTGATGAATGCATACACGAGGAAAAGGTACCCCCGTATGCATGGGTGAGGTGTACATGGGTGAGGTGGCCCTGCCCACAAATTACACCAGTTAAGATCTTCCAATACATTTTTGGTCAACCAGTATGTGGCCAATCAAAGATTTAGATTTTCAAAATTGCATCTAAACCCAGCCATACTAAGCACAGTGGACATTATATAATCAAAAATCAGCATATGTCAAGAGTACACATACAAATAACAACCATTAAATGATTGATGGCCTATTCATTTTAAATCAAGCTTTGAATATCTTGGTTCACATAATATATCATAGCAATAATAATGTCACTATAATTGCTTTTCAAACATACTAATGACCTTTTAGGTCTGGTGTGTAATGTTAAATGCTTTATACCTTA